CCATCCTCCGCGCCTCCCAACTCTCCTTCCCCGCCACAACGCCCCAATGCCACCGCGCGCGCTCCGCCCACGCCCGCGCCTTCTCCTTATCCCTCACCGCGCTCCACGCATAGGCGAGGATCTCTTCGTACAGCGGCATCTCGGCCAATAACCCCTCTTCATCTAACAGAGAAATGAGCTTGGGCAGGATGGTGATGTATTGAGGTATATCGTCCAGAGACGTGGGTAGGGAGGATTTTATCGATGAGATGGTGAGCAGGTTGGTGTCAGAGAGGGCGAGGGTGGAGGTTGGGGAGGTGCAGAGGGAGCAGGTGCATGTGAAGCCCCAGGTACCTTTTAGGCGTTCTTGCCGGGTGGCGTGAGGCTCGGTGGAGAAGCCATCTGTAGAGGTGGTTAGCAGGTGTGTACGGGAGGTGAAGGAAAGGGGAGGATGTACAGCTGTATGTCATCTCTTCACCTGGGGAAATGGGGCGCAGGGCGAAGAGGTCGAAGAGGAGGGTGTGGTCGTTGAAGCGGTAGTAGGTGTTTGGGCGGCAGGCGTGGTTGATTCTCTAGTCGGGTATTAGCTATGCATTCCATGTCCCTTTAAGCATCCCATCTATATCCTCGCGGTTTTGTGTGAAAATGGTGCTACATTTCGGGCACCTGGAGAGCATTTGACAAGGTACTTACCGCGGCTTCCGGGTTTAGGAGGAGATGAAACGTCCCGTCCCAGACTTTTGCTCGGTGAGCGTTCACATTAATTATATCCTCGATCACGCTGTCTCCACCGCGGCGACTCAGACTCATCACTAACTCGCGTGTTGTGGGCGGCAACTGCGTCACCGCTTTTTCTAACAGCGTCCTCCTTCGAGAGTGGCTCACGCTGTCTAGTACCTCTCTACTAACCAGCAGTACGGGAGTTTGCAGGATCAATGTCTCTCCAGGATCAATGTCCCGTTTGGCGAACAAACCAAACCCTTTCCCTTCCGTCTCTTTCACCTCCCACTGCTCTTCAGATTTCGAATGGCCGCGTCCACCGACGCCGCTCTCCCATACCTCATACGATAGCTCGGCTGCTGTTTCTGGACTCGTTACAATGCTGATGCCGCGGCCGTTGTTGAAGGCGGTGTTTGTGTAGACACAGTATGTGTGTGCTTTGCCAGTGTGCGAGCCAGGACTGGAAGGACGAATGAGTGAGAGACAGGTAGGCGGGTGGGTCCATGGAAACGTATTTGTCGTGGATCCATCCTGTAGTACAGGACATTCGCGGGGCGGCGGGTTAAGGAAGACAGCTTGGATCTGGGGACTGCTGCCGATCTCTTCGGGTTCTAGTGGGCTTGCTATGGTTCCCAGGACCAGCCATGAAAACAGTACATGGAGAACTCTTTTTCGGAGAATTTCTGGCATTTTTGGGAAGACGATGATGGAGAAGTTCACGAGTATATCTGCATACTGACGGGCGTATAGGGTTGTACGTCACACGCAGACTGGGTCGCGGACGGAAGCCACGTTTCGCGTATCGTTGGTTTGTTGCCGTGTGCGGCTCTTATACCTGCTTGGCTATCTTCATATTAGGCTCCGGCAACAATGCATATAGTGCAATGAGAAAGGGGAGGGTTAGCGTTCATTTCAAGCGGTTGCCGGCTAAAGGAGGAGCGTTCATGTGAGCTTAGCGCATGGCGAGGAATTTGGTGTACTTGACATGGCAGCAATATCGAAAGCAGATCCTATGGTTTTCCCATTGGCTCTCCCTAGTTTTGAAGACTGTTCTGGCACCAAATTAGTATCTGATGCTAGAAAGAGCGACTCACCGTAGAAGGCACGACAGGACCGGCAGAAAATGTCGAGAGCTAGTGACAGTATGTCTACTTCATGCGCATGATCCAAACGCAGAGAATCCGAAGTAGAAGTGAATGAGTAAAATCAAAGCTATAGGAAGGTAGGACGCAGAAGGTAGGAGATCTCTGGGTTATGTTCATGCCTTTCAGCCAATCACCGTCGTGACAGGGATCCACCCGCATGTCTCATGTGCCAAGAATAGAACTCGAAGAGAACACACCGCATGTGCGACGCAGGGGTGCCTTTAGAGATGCGTCAACAATTGCATGCTCGTTGGTGACTTGGCCCTGGATTTACTAGAGTAGTACCTCTGCACGTTGATCCTGGGACTCCCGCTCGGCCCCACAAATTATTTCCAGCTTTCGTTGCAGAGCGATTGGAGACTGACACGTCCCATGCTTGCACACTAAGGACTCCCTATCTTCATATGTCCAGCGGCGTCGACGTACGACGGTCCCGTCCTGGCATCTGGTCCTACTTCTCCTTCTCGGGCCCCCGACGCCGCATCTCCGTATCGCTCCCTCGCAGCGAGCCGCCGAAGGACAACGACGACGACCGCTTCGAGAAGCCTGACAGGCACTCGCGACACCGGTCGACCTCTATGAACGACTACAAGACGGCGGCGACGATGAACGGCGGGCAGCGAGCGCGGTACCTCAAGACAGGTGGCATCATTGCCTTTGTCGTGCTCGTGTTGTATTTGATTGCGCCGAGCGACAGTCTGACGAGAGCTGGCGGTAGGTGGCCATACTAAATATGTAAAAAGGTATGCATACTGAATTTTTGATTCGCAGAATCGTTTTCCAAAGGCCAGGGCAACACGGCTGCCCCCGGCGCAGAAGTGGGAACATGCACAAAGTCGTACTTGAAAGACAAGCCGCTCATCCAATATGCCCTCATGATTGACGCGGGCAGCACGGGCTCGCGCATCCACGCCTACAAGTTCAACAACTGCGGTCCGACGCCGGAGCTCGAGCAGGAATATTTCAAGATGACGGAGAAGAAGGATGGCGGGTCTGGGCTGTCATCGTACGGTGACGACGCAGAGGGCGCCGCGCAGAGCTTGGATGTGCTGATGGACTACGCCATGGAGAGCGTGCCCGAAGCCTACCGCGCCTGCTCGCCCATCGCCGTCAAGGCCACCGCTGGACTCCGCAAGCTGGGCGAAGAGAAGAGCAACAACACACTCAAGGCTGTTCGGAGGCGATTGGAGACGAAGTACCCCTTCCCGGTCCTCGCAGAAGAAAAGGGCGGTGTGGAGGTCATGCCCGGCGAGCAGGAGGGTGTTTACGCCTGGATCACCACCAACTACCTCCTCGGCAAGATTGGCGGGCCCGACAAGACGCCCACCGCTGCCGTCCTCGATCTCGGCGGCGGCTCCACCCAGATCGTCTTCGAACCTACCTTCCCCAAGGTTCCCAGCGGCGGCCTCCCCACTAAGCTGGCCGACGGCGACCACAAGTACGAGCTCAGCTTCGGCGGCCGCGACTTCACCCTCTACCAACACTCCTACCTCGGCTACGGCCTCATGGAAGCACGCAACAACCTGCACAGCGCCGTCATCGACTCCATCTACCAAGACACCAAGGACAGCGGCGACCGCGAATGGCTCAAGAAGCCCATCATCAACCCGTGCATCGCCCCCGGCATGAGCCGCAAAGTCGAAGTCGCCCTCCCGAAAGACCACGCCCTCGGCTCCACCGTCACCGTCAACATGACGGGCCCTGCCGAAGGCGCCCCCGCCCAATGCCGCGGCTTCGCCGAAAAAACCCTCGGGAAAGACGCAGAGTGCAAGCTCGCGCCCTGCGCCTTCCGCGGCGTGCACCAGCCCTCCATCGAGAAGACTTTCGCTCGCGAAGACGTCTTCCTCTTCTCCTACTTCTACGACCGCACAAAGCCGCTCGGCATGCCTGACAGCTTCTCCCTCGCTGAGCTCAAGGACCTGACTAACCGCGTGTGCCACGGCCAGGGCAGCTGGGATGCTTTCAAGAGCGTCGAGGGCGCCATGAAGGAGCTGAAGGATCGCCCCGAGTGGTGTTTGGATTTGAACTTTCAGCTCGCCTTGTTGCATACGGGGTATGAGATGCCGCTGGATAGAGAAGTTAAGATTGCGAAGAAGATTAAGGGGAATGAGTTGGGGTGGTGTTTGGGCGCTAGGTATGTTTTTCCCTTCCTATCTTTCTCGGTTTCCAAGAACGCAGGTTGCTAACGTGTATGCAGTCTTCCGCTACTCGAGAAGGAGTCTGGCTGGCAGTGCAAAATTAAGCAGGTCCAGTAGATGCGTGGGAGTTTCGTGTCGATGGAATGGTTGGGTTTCAAAATGACTACATTTTTGCGACATGAAGCTATATACAAGTTCTAGTAGCATTGATAGGCGTTGAGGCGTTGGATGCTGCGCGAGCGGAGCGTAGAGCATCGATAATCTTGCTGTTGCGGTGCCTGATGTGGATCACGGATGGACTTGGACGGACGGGAAGCTTCTGCTTGTCTACATGCACCCCGACGATTGGGAAATATATAGAAATAATACCCTTCGACTTGATCCATCCGTCACACTACCTCCCCTGCCTGACGTAATAACCCTGTCGCTGTATTACGCGGTCAGACTACTGTTAATCTTCTTATACCTCCTAACAATCTATATATGCCGTGCACTATTACCGTTTTCTCTAACTTCGCCAGCTACCTAGGTACATTAAATCCCATGTTAATCCTAATAATGCATTTCGTTCTGTAGAAAGAGGGTTAAAAAATGCAGGTGACAAAGGAATCTATTAAGAAAAAGAACAGAAAGAAGGGTAAAAACCTAATATTATGTTTGCACTATTGTCTCCTGATAAGCTCACGCGCCTGAGTCTTCCACTCTAATAGAGCTCCAGCATTCTAGAAGATAGTGCTCAAGCTCATGTGCGAGAGGCGCCTTACCGCTAGGCCACGCGTGCTATAACTACTATAAGCCCACCATGCCCTAATCCTATATAAAAATACAAACCCCTCCCCCCCACTTCTCACCAGTTTATAAATACAGAACCCTCCAGGACTTATCCCTTCACTGACAGAACAGGACAGGACAGGACAGGGAGAAAAAAAGAAAGTTTCCAATGCGGGGAATCGAACCCCGGCCTTGCCGGTGAGAGCGGCAAATCCTAGCCACTAGACCACATTGGATGGATGGGGAGTGGTCAGTACGAGGGTCGAACTCGCGACCTTGGCGTTAACACAAACCCTGATGAGGGGAGGGGTTATTAGCACCACGCTCTAACCAACTGAGCTAACCGACCTGATTGGTTGATTTGATGGAAGGTTTTTGAGGAGAGAAGAATTTATAGATGGATAAAAGGAGATAGGGTGAGATAGAAGGAGGGAGGGAGTGATAGTGCGTGGGGTTAGGTACAAGAGGAGTGTGGGTTGGGCGTGGAAAATTTTCGGTGGGAAGGGGCGAGTGTGGGTGGGTGGGGATGGTGGACCCACACCTACAGATATCGTGCTTGTTACGGCATAGGTTCAGTATGTCCGTTGGAACGGACTCTAAGATGACCGAGAATATTGTATAATAACTGTAGTAGCTACTGGAAATGTCTATTTTCCCACGAACCCATAGAGTCAAGGAAGCTGCGTTGCGCAAAGCACTTACACCCCCCGCGAACGCAGCCCAAGAATCCCCTATAATTATATGACTTCACCTCTCACGTTCATTCTAATACAGGAAAACACAGCATTACAAAACACCAAATAATTTCCCTCTAGCAAGACTTTTCCACTACCTCACCCACATCCCTCACCGGCTATCTACCTCTTCAAATTCTTTTGCTTCTCCGCATCCTTAACCAACACCTCCCTAACCACCATCCCCTTCCGCCTCCTCACACTATCCATATACCTCTTCGCCACATTCTCCCTATCCGCCAGCTCGCCCAGATCCTCGAGATCCTCCTCGGTAAACGGCACCCAAAAGGGGTCTTCATCGAGCATTTCAAAGCCCGCAAAGCGCAACTGCGGACTCGCGGAGCCGCTGCTCCTTTTGCGGATCTCGTCGCTGAAGCCGAACGACTCCGCGACGGGCAGCAGCGCGGTGATGGTGAACGTCTGGTTACCTGTTGTGGAGGCGGAGGAGGTCGAGGACAACTCTTCGGAGAGGATGGTGCCGCGGCGGCGGGTGAGTACGGCGTAGACGCGCGAGAGGACGTCGGTCGAGGCTTGGATTTCGCACGTGTACATGGCGAGGAGCATGCGAGGGGACCAGTCGAGGAAGCCGGCGTGGATGGAGGAGCGCACGGTTTTGATGACTTCGCCCGTGAGGCGGCCGGAGTTGATGTCGGAATCTTCGGGAGTGGAGTGCGCGAGGGAGATGTCTTCGAGGAAGACGGCGATGCCCTGGACGGGCTCGGCGCAGAGGGGTCCTTGCGCGGTGGCGAGCTGGAAGGCGTAGGTGATTTTGTCGGTGAGGGCGGATGTGGAAGCCTCTTCTGGTTTTAGCTCAGAGGAAGCGGAGTCGCGGAGGCTTGAATGGATATTAGCAGTGTGATAGAAGAGTCAGTGTGAGAGGCTCACGGTTTGGCGCAGATGCCTTCTTTAGTCGCGTCAACGAGTATGTTGGGACCTATTCTCCTAGGGCCAAAGGCTGTAATCTTGTCGATAACGCCCGCCCAAATTTCCCGTTGATTCTTGTTGTCCTTGTCGTTGAAGGCGTCTTGAAGCTGCTTTCTGAATTCCTCAAAGGTCAAGGTATGGCCTGTCTCCTGCTGCTCTGCTTCTTGCATGCCATCTTGTTCCACATTCCCATCCTCAGCTGGGGTATCATTGGCGATCCGCTGCCTTTGGTCTTCGTCCCTCTTGTCGCTAAACAGCTTCTTAATAGCCCCAGCATTCTTGCTGAGAAAGTCCGTTACTGTTGCAGGAAGTGGTCGCACGCGGATACGTATTGTGACTTGCTTGCTCACTGTGACCCCGATGACAGTGCCACGCGGTAGATCCGGGTCTTTCGGCGGGTTCATTTCTGCAGCTGCAACGATGGACTCACGGTAGGGCACGATCGGAGCACCCGCTTGGATCTCACACCTTGCAAAGCGTTCCTTCAGATCCTTCAAACACCGCTCCAAATGCAACTCGCCAGCTGTGAGTATGACATGCTCGCCGCTCGGTAGCACCTCGTACTCTGCGCAAGGGTCGCTCTGAACCAGCATTTTCAGGCCATTAATCATCTTGTCAAGGTCATATGGGTTCTCTGGCTCCAGAGCGACTCGCACGATTGGGTGAGTACCCATACTGATACCAGCTAGGTTGACGGAACCCGGCAGCTGAGAGCACAGTGTTCCCGACTTGAGAACGTGTCCAGCGAGGCCGCCTATGCCGAAGACAACACCAGCTGGAACCGTATTCAGCGATTCCAGGCCACGTCCCATCATCAGATAAAGAGCAGTGACCTTGACCTTTTGCGGCTCAGGTACTGTGTGCGGTCTGGCTGGGGTAAATTTGGGTCCTAGCACATAGACTTCATCGCCTACGCTCAGCGTGCCCGAGTAGATGCGAGCAAAGCCGACTAGTTGTTCGGCCTGCTCTTCGGTCCCTTCGCTCACCTCCGGCGTCTCAGATTCTCCAATCGCAGCTCCACTCAGTGCCTCGGTCATGCTTGCAACATCATTAGCACCACCGTCAGCCAACGCTTGCTGTCGGGCGATTTCTGCTCGCTTCTTGCGACCAAGCTCTCGAGCCTCTTCGGCACTCAGTGCACCACCTCGTCGCTTATTTTCTGGTAGCTCACTCTCCGGAACTGAAACCATTTTGCTCACGTATGCCACCATGGGAGCATCCTTGGCAGTCTTGAATTGAACCATGGCGTCTCTGACTTCCGGTGCAACGTAATCGGCGCCAGGAGAGTTGTCCACGATTTCGGGTATTCGTTCGGCTTGTGCTTTGGGGGGCGAAGGGAGATACTCGGTCACAGAGACAAGTAGTGCTGTCGAAAGCGGAAGCCAAGCTGCGAAAAGAGTAGTGAGAAGCGCTCGTGGATCGCGGGATCGAAGGATGTGCGTTGGGATAGTCAAATTGAGCGACTTGGTGATCTTCTCTACCATTGCGGGATCTCTGTTGAAGTATATATGAGTATATTGAAAAATGTATATACAAGGTAACGTAAGAGGAAAGGAAATCCACGCACCCCTTCCCATTGTTACCTCCCGTAGTAGCTTCGTATACGGCCCAGATGTTGTCGAGCACCAACTGGACGAACATTGGTTTGAGATGGCGTCCCTTGAGATGCTTTGAGCTGAGTACCCGCTTTGTTTTGGGATCTAGGTAGAAGTCGCCCCATAAGACTTTTTCTAAGATGGAGCGCTTGATGCCGAGCTTTCGCTCATACAGGCCTGCAAACTGCCGAACGGTAAACGCCCATCCATCGATGGCGCTGCCGAATATGACATTGTTGTTCTCAGGGGCAAAGTAAATGTCTGCATCGTCTTCTTCTTCGTACTCAGCCGGGGTGTTAGTTGTGTCTATGCTGTCACCATTTTCGATGACGGATGAGCTGGAATTAGCTTCCTTATCGGCAGCCGCAGCGTTCAGCCGCTCCTCCATCTTTTCTCGCCAGCGAAGATCGTCTTCCATGCGCTCTCCCTGGTAAAAGCTGCCCATGACGGCGTTCACCTGCTCCAGCAGTTTACTCAGATGCGTGTATGCCTCTCCTGGGCTCATTTTCAATTCTGTGATTAGTCTATCCATTTTGTTAATGACGAGTAAGGGTTTCAGTTTCTCGATCCACGCCTGCCGCAGCACTGTGACGGTCTGGCTACACACGCCTTCCACGGCATCTACAACCACGACGGCGCCGTCACATAGACGCGAGGCGGTTGAGACTTCGTAGCTGAAGTCGATGTGTCCAGGCGAGTCTATTAGGTTTATCAGGAACTCCTTTTGCTCAGGCTTTGCATCTGGCGCGGACCGCCGTAGCAAGGAGAAGTATAGCGAGATGGCAGACGACTCCATGGTGATGCCCCGCAGCTGCTCATCTGGTCTCGAGTCTAGGTAACGTATCTTGCCAGCGAGCTTGGGCGATATGATGCCGTTGGTGGCGATGAGCGCGTCAGTGAGCGACGTCTTGCCATGGTCCTGCTGGGTTTAACAGAGTTGATGGGAGGGAAGGAAGGTGCGACGACGTACGACGTGGGCAAGGATGCATATCTACGCACTGTTAGCCTTGCTCAGTGCCTGAGAACTGGCATGGGTTTGGGTACGTTTCTGATGCCTTCAGCCGCCTGCTGCAGCGACACCAGCTTTTCGGGCGCCACGACCGGCATGGTGACTGTGTGTGGATGCTGTTCTGCGCGGGTCTGGATCTTCAGCGAGGGGTTGCGGTTTCGAGACGGTAGGTGGGGGTTCCTGGTGGAGATGCGTGTGGGAGAGCTGTTTCACTGCAGGCAATCACCCGCGGCAAAAATAGGTAAGATGACAGGATGCTGGGCGGGAAGAGTGCCTCTGGTGTTTTTGGTAGCGGTTGGCTGTTAATTAACCGTGGGTTTTTGGCAGACCCAAACGCGGGCCTACCCCACTAAATTTCGCTGGTGGCGGCAGTGTGCGACGCAGACGTACGTCAGTTGCCGGCGCCAGCGATCGCCCACGAGCTAACGGCAGTGCCTCACTGCACGCGTCAACGAACCTCCCATTCACGATGCCTGGCGCAACTCAGCGTCTGTAAACACTTGGAACGCGCCTGCTGTCACGGAGCGTGCCCGATGGCCTGGAGGCTGCTCCACCCGCGCATGGCCCCTGCCGCTCGGCTGTTGTTGTCGTTCATCTCCCTGTCTTAGCACGAACCAAGAATCATATCCGTCGACCCCCCAAACATACCGCCGTCCGCACCGGAAACAGCCTTCCCACTGCTCCAAGACTGCCTCTCTAGATGCAGCGCATCCGAACATGGCAGTCACCATGACCGAAACCACCCCGAACACACCTACAAAGCCCATCACAATCGGTCCGGCGCCCATGCAGCTCGAGACACCCGCCCACCCACCACGCTTGGAAGCTCTGCGAGCAAACAACGACAGCGGCATGTCGCCTGTGAACCAGAATGGCAGCTTCGCCTTTGATCGCGTCATCCATTCTGGCTCCATCATGAAGCGCACGCGCAAAACGAAGGTAGAAGTGCCAACAGCTCTTCATTTAGCCGAATGCTAACATTCTATGCAGCAATGGAAGCCCGTCTACCTCGTCCTCCGTCCCAATTTGCTCTCCATCTACCGCGACAAGGACGAAACGAAGCTTCGCCATCAAATCACCCTCTCCG